CTAATCGCCGTCCTATAAAACTTACCTTTTAGCTTCTGTGGTACCCTTTTGTCATATAAGACACCAGATGCTTGGCGCCACTTCATCCACCCTGCTTTGATTCTATGGTTAACATCTTCATCAATATCCCCGTCTCTCTGTAGCATTGATCCTAAATATCGAAAGATATCCTTCCTAGTCACTACTTGACCTTCCAAACTAATATCTTCCTCCTCCCGAGTAGTAGTGCCGAAGTCACATCTCATATACCCAGTTTTAGTTCGACTGAGTCTAAAACCTTTGGACTCCAAAGTCTCCCGCCATAACTCCAGTTTCTGATTCACTCCTGTTCGACTTTCATCAACTAGCACTACATCGTCCGCGAAAAGCATACACCAAGGGATGTCCCCTTGTATATCCCTTGTGATCTCATCCATCACTAAGGCAAACAGATAATGGCTCAAAGCTGACCCTTAACGTAGTCCTATCCTAATCGGGAAGTCATCCGTGTCTCCATCACTTGTTCGAACACTAATCACAACATTGTTGTACATGTCCTTAATGAGCCCGACGTACTTCGTTGGGACTTTATGTTTGTCCAAAGCCCACCACATAACATTCCTTGGTATTTTATCATAAGTCTTCTTCAAGTCAATAAAAGCCATGTGTAGGTCCTCCTTCTCCCTATACCGCTCTATAACTATGGTTGACCTTTCAGGCATGAAACCAAATTGGTTCATAGAGACCACATATTGCTCTCAAGCGATGCTCTCGATAAACAGAATAAACACAAATGTGAAAAATTGCGTTAAAGCAGATGGTAATCAAGATGTGATCTGGAGCAAAAAATTTACCATAGTGTACTTCCTGGCATTGGAAGGTCTTTTTCTTTAATGCTTGTGTATAGCGCTTGCAGAAGACATTTGTCCAAGAGAGAATCAATTTCCTCAGTTGTCAAATTGTGATGTTCCATTTCAACAGGTGCTTGTTCAGTGGTTTTATCTTCAGGCAGTTTTAGTTCGTTAACAGCATCAGTTATCTCTTCCACGGCTTCACTCTGGATGGCAGGATCAGCACCATGATTGTCTGAAATATCAACTCCTGCATCTTCAGCCAAAACACTACCATCATTCGTGCCTTCAGGTTCTTCAGCAGAATCAGGAGACTGAGATGTTGAAACAGAATTAGGATCTTCAACAACAATGTCATCAAAAATCCTTCATTGGGGACATAACGACCATCAGCGAATCCCTGCAAATAGTATTAGACAAGTTAATCTCCTGACAAATGGCTAAAGTCGTTTGTGTACCAACCCTGGTCAGTGTGCACTTGCCATAACATATCACGGTAGTAATGTAAAATCTTTAAAGCCTTGCCACGTAGCCCTGCCTTCAAGGCTTCAGTACTACTCATAGTTGTGCTCCCAACCTGTGTAATGCATAATGGTAAAAAGCGTGGAGATTTGAACATACTGATAAAGCTCTACCAGTTAAAAACTCTGGGCAAAATCAGTTACAATGAAATATGAAAAACTTACTGCAATTGGAGCAGGGTTACCAGGAACTTTTACAGCCCATGGTTGGCCAGCTTCAAAAGATGGAAACCCTTCTGGAGGTATGCTGATACCAGGAAACATCAGATCAGCGCCACCAATCACGAAACGTGAAACCTCACCACCTTTAAGCGTAAAAGCTGGCAACAGATGGGGGACCTTCCAAAGCGCATAAACTGCAATATTTGCAGCAGATAAACCATACTCAGTTCATTTCCAATGCCCAACAACTGTTGATTAGTAAGTGAAAAACCTATATAACAGTCAAAAGGCAAGGATTTTGTGGATAAAATCTTAACTCTATAAACTCAAGCAATGTCTAATGGAAGTGATGCCTTATACTATTATGGACAGTAACTCCGATAATTCATTGTGGTCACCATCTGCTAAGCTAGGTTTAAGTAGTTAACTTATTTTCAATATACGGAACAAAACCAATAAAGTTATACATACAAAATAAGAGTAGAGCATAACAAAATTACAGTAAATCAAGCACCTAATTTGATAATTAGAAATCAAAATAATGATGATTGTACTCAATAACAGGAAGCAGTGGCCTCTGTTTGTTCTCTGTTCCCTTTCTTTTATGTGCATACTCAAACAGAAACAAATAAATCTCAAGCAGTAGTACAATAAACAAGAAAGTACTGTAGAACAAGTAACAAAAGTTGGATTAAATAGATGAAAAGAGAAATGCCAATATGGAGGAGATGAAAAGAGAAACCTGTAGGAAACAGTTCATGGCCTCTTGCATCAGTGTTGAAAATCATTGGGAACTCTCCCTCTATGCCATATACAAGAGCATGATTTGGGTACTTAGCAACTGTTATCTCAACCTATACAAAAGCACATCTGAGCAAGTATTACGAAAAATTCAAACATATAAATAAAGATACAAATGATACGGATTTATGCGTAAAATTACTATAAGTTAACTGATAAATATAGTAATGAGAAGGAATATGATAAAGAAAAAATTAATGTTACGGGTCGAAATATCACTGATGGATAAGTCTCATGTGTGGTCTTTGTGGGGCTGTACTGCTCACATGGTCTTTGTGGCTGTTTTTCTGCTTTTAGGACAGCATCTTAGACTAGAGGACAGCAGGACAGCATCTTAGAGGACAGCATCTTAGCTAGGACAGGACAGCATCTTAGCTAGGACAGCATATTAGCATTTTAGACTAGCATCTTGGCATATGCTTGGCTGGCTAGCAGTCTATAAATATGTAACCCCAACCCCTCAGGTTGGCATGGCATTTGAGTAAGAAATAGACAAGAAAATTGCCCCTACTCCTAGTGTCATCCTCTCTCGATGAGAGTAAGAATTCTCCTACTACCAAGAGTGAGAATTCAGCGACTAACAATCACAAGCATACATGAACAAGTAGGCTACTATTCCTTCACTAAGCCTGGAGCTCTACCACGCAATGTATGCCAAGTTGATGGTGACAACCCAAACAATAACATCTAACATTTTTCCTCCATTTCTTTATGTTAGGCATCTTAGGATTAGAGAGTTTTTTCATTTTACCGGCGTGTAAGGTTTCAAGGGATTCTTTAACCACTTTCTTCCTATTTTACCCTTGCTTCTTTACTGCCCGGCACCCGCGTCACTCGCATGCCTGCCAATTAATTGCCTCTGTCACCAATGGCTTGTCTCTCCACTTCCTATACCCACCATGAGAGAGGATTGGGAATTCAAAAGGCTTCAGCCAATAAAGGGATAACATAAAGCTGGTGTGTTTTCTCCACGAATGCACAAAGTGACAGAGTCAGTGGAAGAGTAGGGCTAATGCAGCCTTTTTTGCTCGTCGTCCCCTTAAAATTTGAAGCTCCTCAATATGTGCGCCTAAGCTGAAAAGACTAACAAAAAGGAACTGAGGGAGTCATGTAATGATGATATGTAGGGGCTGCTTGATTGCCTTGCCCCTGCCGCTCGCCTCGCCTTGCATAAATAACAAGGCGGCCAGCGAGAGAACCCAACAACGTTGACTGTTTCAACTGTTTACTCTGTTAGGCGAGGTGAGGGCGAGCAAGGGATCCAAAGCATGCTCGTAATTCCATTAGCATAACCTTACATGTTATTGTCCCATGCTACACTAACATCAACAACAAATTCTTTACTCCGTGGAAGTTAAGGAAGAATAGATATGAAACCCAGTTAACATGTAAATTACATATTATTCTGTCAGACACAGACGGTGTAAATAAAAGAAAAGGAAAAAAAGGGGCAAACAAAAGAAGTCATCACCTTGGGAGGCAGGATGGCATCGAGATCAGCATCAGAAGTCTGTGGAAACCTTTCCTTGGCAGTTCTTCTTAGCTTCTTTTTGTCAGCCCCAGACAAGCGCTGTATGGTTTTCACATCAACAGGTTTCTTGAACATGGCTGATCAGACCCAGGAACAAGCTGAGATGCATATAAATGAGTTAAATATGTCACCTCAATCACAAGGAAGACCATGAGATACAAAACTGTAGTTAAAAACTGAGCAACAAAATATAGATGATGAAACAATCAGCCAGCACGAAATTCATCTTTATGAGGTGAGATTAGAAATGTCGAACGAATACTAAGAAAATGCCATTGCAGGCTCCTATTATCACACTCGTCGCATACCTAATTATTGATTTCTAACATTAAATCTGCTAAAAGACCCAAACTACAGAGTACTTAGCAGTTAGCACCTACATGACACATGACACAGTTCGTCCTATCATAATTATACAAACTCAATTCACGAACCCCAGCGTTCCATATCCTCCTCTTAGGACAACAATGCCCAGCTCGTTAAAATGAAAACATTCCTTTCAATCAAGCAACGCATAAATTAGGAGCAAAATTACCAAGCCCTTATAGGGGAAACAACCCTACTTTCTCTCTGATAGTAACATGCTTTTCGAGCACCTCAAGAACCCAACAAGTGACAGGAGACAACAACACATCACAGACCAATCCCAGGACTATACAAGAAGCCTAACGATCGAGTAAGAAAGCATAAACTCTTCCACCGTATCCGGAAGGGCTAACGAGCTGAGGGATCACAAATGATGGACTAGCCAACCACGGATGGGGTTAGAGATAGAGAGGCTTCCTTACCGCCGCTGGCGAGGTCGGAGGCGGCGCGAGGGGATCCGGTAGGTTCTGGAGACACGGGTAGGTTCTGGAGACACTTTCGGATGCTGCTCCAGACCAGAATAAACGACGGCGCAGGTGCGTGTCCCTGCGGAGAAACCGTACGGTGGATGGGCCGGTAGCCCTCACGGGCCCTCCTCTCCGGCTTTTTTATGGGCCCATCCTTCCTTTTAGCTCTGAGGCCCATCGCCTAAAAAGGGCCGTCATGGCCCATGGGCCGATTTAACAGGAAAAATAGAGAACGACGAGCGGCCCCTGCCTGCCTGCAACCACACGCACTGGAACTCTGGAAACATCGATCGTGCGGCGCGGCGAGCGAGAGGAGTGGAGGATGACGGCGCCCAAGCCTGGCGGGGGAGCGGCGGCCGCGGCGCGGGCGGCGGCGGCGGCGGCGGGGCCCAGGACGGTGCTCATCACGGGGGTCAGCAGGGGGCTAGGCCGGGCCCTGGCGCTCGAGCTCGCGCGTCGCGGGCACGCGGTGGTCGGCTGCGGCCGCTCCGCCGAGCACCTCCGCTCCCTCGAGGCAGAGATCACGTCGCCGTCGCGCCACTTACTCACCGTCGCCGATGTCGTAAGGCTCCGGTGCCCGTTCAAGTACTGATAGGAATTTTGCTGTACAGTTGCTGCGCTGCTTTCTAGCGAGTGACCTGCTGACCTAGTTCTCCTGTTCGCTGGGGATTCATTTTCAGTGCTTGCTTTCGTTTTTGTCTTCCCAACCGCTGTGCTTGGTTGAACTTTGTGCTTTTGAAGTCATATGCTAGTGTATTGATGAGCGAAATCTCAATTACTCCCACGAGGTTGTAGATTCGTGCTGCTGTATATTCATCCTTTGCTTAGAACTTTGGATGAGTATTTTACAGATTGGTAAACTTCGTTGTTTGACTGGTAGCTTATCACCTGAGGCCCTGAGGGTCAATGCGTCTTGAATTCATAAGTCAATGCTGATAAGTGTGTATGATAATACTTGATGTTCAAGGAATAGGAAATCTTTGTGCTCTACGTTTTTACAATGTGGCGCATACAGTAGCCAGTGGGGGTTGGTTATCGTCTCAGACTATGGGCTAGAACAGTTTGTGCATGAGTTGCTGGAGCATTCTCCACATTGAAGAACTGGTTTTCACCTTACTAGGAATGTGGAGAGGGGTATTGTAGTCTAGAATTCCCACCAAACGTTTTTTATTTTGACCATAGATGCATATAAAGATAGTAAATTGATGACATAAGGTTGTAGCTATTAGTGTTGGACAATAGTGAGATGATAATAGAATTACATTTTATCAGTGACGTGTTTATTTCTCTTTTTCTAAGAAACAAAGCATAAATAATCTGAGTAATGGTTAATTGTTTGCTATGTGAAAACATTTTCTCAAGCACTGTTTTACGCTTCTGCTGCAGAGGTCTGACAGCAGTGTGGCCGAGCTGGCAAAGGCTGTTGTGGAAAAGAAGCAAGTTCCAGATATTATAGGTTTGTTATGCTTTGTGTCTGTATGCAGTTGAGCCATGAAGTTTATTATGGAATCGCATATTTGTATGCTCATTCTGAGTATATGAGCAAAGAAGATTTCCTGGATTCTAACTGTTGAGGTATTCTGGCAGTAAACAATGCTGGTACAATAAACAAGAATAACAAGACATGGAATGTTCCAGCGGTTGATTTTGATATGGTGGTCGATACAAATATCAAGGGAACAGCAAATGTGCTTCGCCATTTCGTACCACTTATGATAGAGAAGAGACATGGGATTATAATCAATCTATCCTCTGGTTGGGGAAGATCTGCTGCTGCAGAGGTCAGACAGAAAGCCATCAAATGCATTATAGTTGTTTCTTTCTGTTGAATCAAAATCCTCAGTGCATACTAAATTGCACATTGCCATTTCAGGTTGCTCCATATTGTGCTTCGAAGTGGGCGATTGAGGGCTTAACACGCTCGTTGGCTAAAGAGCTGCCTCCTGGATTGGCAGCCATTGCTCTTAGCCCTGGTGTCGTGAATACTGACATGCTTACTTCATGCTTTGGAAGCTCAGCCGCATTATATCAAACAACTGAAACATGGTAAACTTCCCTGCCTTATGTTTGTTTGACCTATTTACCTTATGTTATTCTACCTTGTCCACATATAGATTATAAACACAGCATTCCGTTATTCACTGTTCATTGGCTGAGCTGGAAATTAAATCTGAACCAACGGACACTCGGGGATGGGACACTACAATTACATAACTAGTGTTAACACTTTAGCATGGTCAATTGACACATAAATCACCTTACTGGATCATCCTCCCAAGATAGTTCTGGCCAGGATGATTTCATTGCAATACCTAATTACCTATTCCTTTCCATTCCACCTTTATTGTTATATATAGAAGTTCTGTTGCCATACCAGTGATTTCAAAGGTGCCTGTTCCACTCCAAATATGTCAGCACTTAGTCCAACTAAATATACTGTCAGTCATCTTCAACCTTGTATTGCACATTTGCGCTTCCAGTGCTCTGTCTCTACAATTCAACTACCATTTTTCCAGACTCTTATGGAATAGCTAACCCCACTTTGTATACTGTCCAAATGTGAAGTTTTTCCGTGAGGTTTCTGTGACACTTGGACAGGGAAGCTTGATGTTGAGTAGCCTGCGTATTTGCTAGATTTGATCTATCATATTGCATTTTCAGACTTGAAAACTCTGCATTGAGAAGTCTTGCCACTTCGAGCATCCTGTCTGTGGTCCTGTAATTAAATGATAGCTGCTACACATCCGACGGATTTGTACAACCCACATCCAATTGGGCATGCGGCGCACAGAGCATTGCCCCAAAACCCGCAGACTCGCCTCAGGCCTTGCTTAGATGCATCGTATCCGCCTCAATCCATGCACTTCGAGTACATGCAAACAAGCCCTCAGGGTTGTAACACAGCTGGATGGAGGACCTGTGTGTGTGGGCTTTTCCTAATTAAATTGGCATACGATGCATAGAAGTTTGGACTATACTACTTAGCTGTCTCAAAGCATTAGGCATTCCTAATTAATTGGCATACAATGCATAGAATTGTGATATACTTAGCTGTTGCAAAGCATTAGCTTTGTGTGGCAAACACAGAGTATTAGGTTGTTTAGACATTGAATACAGTGAACATTTGGCACTATGATCAGTTACCAGATTAATGAATGGATGTTGCTGTTTTTTCAGGGCACCCAAGGCAGCTACAATGATACTAAGCCTTTCACTCGACGATAACGGTGCCTCCTTGACTGTATGAAGTGGTGAAATTTTGTGCTCAACTGATTGCTGATGGGTTCCCTTGTAGCTTGACATGTAGGTTTTTGCGAGATTATGGTGATGTAAAATAGTAGTGATAATAATGTGTGTCTGCACTCTGATGTCCCTAGCTGCTGTCTGAACGTTATTGTTTAGCATTACCTCTATGGCCTATGCATATGCTCTTCTTTCATTTGATGTTTTGTTGATGGGGGAGTAATATGGTGAGAAAGGTGCCGGGCGGAGAGATAGAAGCAGGCCTCGCTTTGTTTCGGCAGCACTGCTAGCGCCCGGACGGACACCCGCGGCTGCAGTCCGTTCCCGTATCCACGCATGGGCCCGCGCCGGCCGGACGTTGCTCCCCAGCGCCTGCGTTTTGCGGCCAAGCAGGAGGCCGCGCCGCTCGCGTCGCGTGCCCACGGGACCGCTCGTGTTCCCTCCAACTTTCCACGTGTATGCTATGTCAACCAGATCTATTTTAAAATATTCGGATACAATATTTGTAATATAAAAAAAAGGCAGATAAAACCCTTGAAATATCGTCTAAAACACTTAAAAAATACACAACATCTAGATAAAATACTTACAACATATGTGTGAAAACATATACAACATTCAAATAAACAACTTACAACATATATCCAAAAATCAGATGAAACATTAGAGACAATCACTTGCAACATACGTGTATAATCATTACAACATATACAATATTCCGACCTTTGCAATATCTATACAAAACTCTTGCAATGTACCTTTAAAATATTTGAAATGTGAGCTTGTAATATGCATTATATCCCGTACGGCCTCCTCCACCGTCTGCGTCGAGGCGTCGTAGCAGCAGGCGAGGCCAGAGGACTTCCGCACCAGGGCCTAACGCTTCTCTTGCGCTGGCGGCGCATGTCGGCGTCGTCGGGTCGGACGGGTGGCGGAGCAGGAGCAACGGCAGGAGTAGCGAGACGGGCGCGCACAGCAGCGGCAAAGCAGTGGGGGCGGGTGCACGGAGCAGCGGGGCAGGCCGAGGAGGAGCAGCAGCAGCAGCAGCGCAGGGCGAGCAGCAGAAGCAACGGAAGGGGGCGGGCGGCGGAGGCGATGCAGGAGCAGAGTGAGGCGAAAAAAGACGGACGCAAGGTTTATTGAGCCAGTTGGTCCGCGGCCTAGGCGCGCGGCGTCCGGAGGGGACGGGCGCCAGCGTGGCAGCGTCCAGTCATTTCCGTTGTTTCGGTGGCGTCCCGAACGCACGGCGACTTACTTCTGCAGTCATCTACACAGTTCACTAGGATCCGACGGTGAACCTCTCAAAACTCATCTAGCAGGCCTCATGTTTTTTTTTCGGTTTGAGAAACAGCACGCCTCATGGATGGGTCGCAACAGCCAGTCGAGCGGCCCATCTAAGTCCAGTCCTCAGCAAGTCGTTTCTTCCCTTCCGCCTTCGTCTTCGTCGCGTGGCCTCATGCATCGGCCTTCCTCTCCTCCTTGATGTCTTGGAGCCTTGTGCGTTGTCGCCCCGGATGCCTACAGGTGCCTTGGGGTAATGGGGCGTTCCCTTCCTTGCCCGCCGCATGGTGTCATCCTTGACAGGAAGCATGGAGGATCAGAGGATGTCGTGCTTGGACCGGGAGCATCTGAACTGTGCTAGCAATTATGCAGTAAATTGGAATACAAAGAATACATAGCATTGTGTGTTATAAATTGTGCTCTATTGTTATGGTATGGAATACAGAGACTGCAAGTAGATGGTGCCTATGTCTATCATTCTAGTAGTATGGTTATCTGGTGCAACCTGAATGTATTTTGCAAGCGCGTATGAATGCCTTTTGCCACTTGAAAGACAGTTATGATAATTCATAAAAGCATTGTCTTATATAGCTGAACAACTTGAAAAATAGTTATGATAATTCATAAAAGCATTGCCTTATATAGCTGTTCAGTGACCACATTCAGTTATTCATTTCAATAATTTAGTGACCACATTCAGTTATTTACTCATAACCACATTCAGTTATTTACTCATAATAACCACATTCAGTAATTTTGCCATTTTCAGTTATTCATTTCGACAATTCAGTGACCATTCTCAAATATTTAGTCACAATATCACTTCACAATTTCATATATATTTACTCATAACCTCACTTCACAATCTCATCTTATCTCCATCTCTGAACCTAAACAAGCACACATTGCCTTTTCTCTGAACCTGAAGAAGCACCAAGGGGTAAAAACTGCAGACTGTAGAACTGGTTCCTACTTCAATCCTTTCGTGTTCTCGGGATTAATCTATAAGCACCAGATGCACAAGAGCGTGAATCCCTTGATGAACCTGCGGAGCAGTGAGCCTCTGCCATCGTGATTTTAAGTTTAATTAATTTTAATATTATTAACGATATATAAATCTTAAGTTTAATTAATTTTAATATGGCTAATCATATTAATTAGTATTTTATTTTATTTATATACTTGAAGAATATATTTTTATTTATTTGAATTCAGTAATTGATATGTACTGTCTACAATTTTCTTATAATTTATTATATATTTAATTATTGAAATATTGATTAAAACATTTTATTTTTGGTAGTTTTCTTTATCTACGGTGTTGTTATTATGTAGCTATATTTCGAATCCCTTTGTTCCATAATAATTTTATTATACTATAAAACTATTGATAAACAAATAGATATATGTTATATCAAAATCAAGTAGGTATGGATTCGAATCTGAATTCGAGATATCCGTTTTGCATTAGTATCCCACAATATCCGCATTCACATTGAAATTCGAATTAAAATGTGGTAAATAGAATCCGTATGGTGCGAATCCCATTCGAATCCATCCCTAACGAGAGCGGATTGGCGCTTGGCGCTGGCGGGCAGCAGGCAGCAGCCTGGGCGCTCTGCAGATCCGCGTGTCGGCGGCAAGCAGCGAAGGCCCATCATAGATCGCCCCCGCTGCGAAGACTGCGCTTACGAAGGGGAGCCCTGCTCGTGCTCGGCGCAGGGATTCAATGAGCACATACGGAGCGCGCAGCACCACGCAGTGTACGCTGCCCTGCTCCTCCTGAGCGCGATCCGCCGCGAGTTTATTGCCGGCCCGCCACCGCCATTGCTGCGCTCCTGCTCTGCTGCTCTGGCACATCATCACAGGTACCTGCGCTGCGCTAACAGGGATTCTGGATTTGCAAATAACCCGCCTTGGCCCCTTGCATCTCGCATGCAGACGGGCGATGGCGTCCGGGTTTCTTCTTGGACTGGAGTCTGGACTGCGCCGCGCGCCCCCATTCAATGGCTTGGCAGCCGGCAGCCCGGCCCGGCCGGCCGGCAGTCATGAGGGGGAGGGCTCGTGTACGCGCCGGCGTGCATGCATGGGCAGGGCAGTGGACCTGCGCCTGCGCTGCATGATTCTCCGGTAGGACGTCCGGCCGGCTTCTGTTCTCCTTCAGGACTCCTGCTATGTCCTATCATTACAATCCTCCGCAGTGTACGCGCCTGGAATCTTTCAGTGGTAACGTTAACTGGCGTCAGGCTGCACCGGCGCCAGGTTGTTGGTTTTCTGCTTGGATGGATTTTCTTTTTCTTTTTTTTCACCATCTTATATCAACCGTTTTTTTCCTTTTTCAGTTTGAGAGTTTCTGTCCAAATTTCTTGTACACCACTCCCTCCTTCTATGCAAGAAGTTATATGTCGTGTGGTAGGGGAAAATCTTCCAAAGTAAACTTTGGTCCATAACTTCTCTTAAAATTATAAAAAAATTATTCTAGGATTGCTTTGGAAGACAATTTGGACGCAGATTTTTTCTAGGAAAGTCTTCCAAAGTAAACTTTGGTCCACCAGAAGGAAAGTCTTCCAAAGTAAACTTTGGTCCAAATTGTCTTAAAAGCCACTTTGAATTAAAACTATTGATGCAATTTCTATACACTAAACACGCATATAATTTTACAAATTGTTTATAGTAACTTTTCAATAGTCTGAGTATGCCTTACATTGATAGACTGAGAGAACACTAAAAGTTCGAGGGACAACCCCTGCTATTTTGCTTAAGGAACAAGAGTTTTCATCCAAATAGAGGCTACTTTGCCCGCTTCGTTTCAAAGCCAACTAATCATATAGTTCAAGCTCGAATTGGGTAGAATATATAGTCTTTGAATATCTAATTTGTTAAAGTAAAAGAATCTAGATAAATATTATTTTTCCTTGAATACGTAAAAGGCTCGTGTATCGTTGTATCTAAAGTAGAATAGTTTGACCTTACAAACGATATGCTTCGATCGAGCATCGGGGACGATATGCTTCTCGATCGAGCATCGGGGGCTTTTTCCTATAAGTTTTGTAAAACTTAAGATACTTTGACTTTAGGTAATTGTAGGGATTGATTTTTTTTTGGAATGGAGGTAATATTATTTGTTAGGATTTGCGAAGTCCAGTCTCAACGGTGCTGTTGAGGGGGAAAGGTATGAAAATAATGATTTTCACCTGGTACTAGGAACCTCATGCATGTAGTCATTCATTTGCCCGTCGCTATCACAAGGATTTCCTTACTGTTCAGTACTTTCTCTATCTCAAATTATAAGTTATTCCAACTTTCTTAGAAGTTAAAATCATCTCAAATTTGACCAAATTTATATAATAAAATAATAACATTTATGATACCAAATAGGTATCATTAGATTCTTCGTTAATTATATTTTTTAGAGTTTACCTATTTGATGTCATATTTTTTTTGTAATTTCCTCTATGATTTTAGTCAAACTTGAGATGCTTTAACTCCCCAAGAAAATTGGAACGACCTATAATTTAGAATGGAGAAAGTAGAATATTACAGTGATACTCCCTCCATCTCAAATTGTAAGTCATTCCAAGAATCTTGGAGAGTCAAAGCTTCTCAAGTTTGACTAAAATTATAAAAAAATTACAAAGATTTATGACATCAAATAGGTATACTATAAAAATATAATTAACAAAGAATCTATTAGTACTTAGTTGGTATCATAAATGTTATTAT